CTCGTGGTCACATAAAAAATGCATTACCAATGAATTATAAATAAGAAGAGCACATATTAGGTAACAATTAATTAAAAAGACATACTTACTAGTGCTAGAGAAGAAACAGCCACTTGCTAAGCATAGCATTGCAAGTGTATATGCAGCAAGACGTTTTCCATACGTCCTAGATACTGCTACAACTAGGGCAGAATCTGCCATGACAGAGAGAAAGCCAAGAAAAATTCGCACCGCATAGAAGACTTTCACCTGAAATATTTAGACTTATTGAGCACACAGAATCAAGAAGTTAAAAGAGAAAAAGGAGGTAAACAGGGCCGCCGGGGTCGGGGGTATAAGCAAAAAGTAGCTCAGGATCAGGCAGAAATATCTCACTTTTTCTTCATAAAACCACCAGGAAGCAGGCCCACCAGCCAATTTATGGAGAAGAATATACAAATATGATCGTAATGCAAACTGCGAGCTGCAGGAACCAAGCATTTGGTGAGAAGTGTTATTAAAAAATTGGCCACACTCGCAAAACTTGGGCTGTTTTTATATGCATACATGCAAAGATTACGCTCTGGAATACGAGGAATTAAATGAACAAAGCATTTACAGAATTGACACTAATGCAACTCCCTTCCGGAGGCCATCATCATGACAAGGACATGTTTTCAGCAGCGTCTCAAGGCACAGATCAGACGGTTCATTAGGAGCCTCAAAACTTACATTTGCATTGTCATTTGTCAAGATTTGCACCTTAACTTACTGAGTACATGCCTCAAGGCATAAGCATTAAGGCGTTGAAGAGTGAGCTACGTTCTCTTGCATCCTGGAATATTATAATTACCTCGGACTTCTGGACTGCTTTTTTCTAGCATATTTTAAAGCTTTTCCTGAATTGTTTTAGACGCAACTCATCCCAAAAAGGAAAAGAATTACAAGTTAAAGAAGAGAATGAGTGAAGAATGGTACATGCTTTAGCCCTCTACTCCAACTATAGTGCAATCTCTAATGTGAAGTTCAAACTTCAAGAAGGCAAGCTTAGATAATTAATTATGCACTACTTAGTGTATCCAATTTATGTAACACACTTTTTAATTTAGTTGAAATGTTATTTATGGATACTTTTAGATGCTTATGGTTTGTTATTAGTGTAATTTTGCATTTTCTAAAATTTTGAATTATTTTATGATTGGAGGCTACCTCCCTCATACCATATTTCCATAAGAAGGGAAGATAAATATGTAGTGAAGTATTTACTAAATAAACATTAGCTATCTAAAGGCCATTACTTGTGACAATTTTAACAATTACATAGTAATATCCAAATAATCATAGGTAACTTGATTTCTATTAGTATGAGAGCACTTTGCGCATACCATGCTAAAACTTAAACCTGAAAAGACGCAAAAATTAATCTGTATGTGCAAAGTTCTAATTTCTAGGCAATATAGTAGCTAATAACAATTTTATGCAGCTTTCTTCACTCTCACAATGTTTTGTACACCATTCGACTTTGTATTTCAAATAAAATTCACCACCTGAAAACGTAAACTTTACCCTATACTCAGAAGTTAAACAACAACCTATATGGTAAGTCTTTCATATAAATTTCTCTATACAGTTTAGCCACAGCTCTAGACAGCTCCAAACAAGAAACTATAACTTAAGTGAGATAAAAACATACAAGTAGATACACACCTGTATTCCCAGGTCTGGAAGCCGGTCTTGTAGAGAAGGAAATGGAGGGGCTCCCAGTAATTGAAAACCTCATCGCAGTCGTGTATGATGTTCGATGTGGCGCTCATGTACCTCAACATCCCCAGTGCCACCAGTGGCAGGAACCATCGTAATCCCTTCTCCTCGCCATCGGGGCCAGATTTTTCCGGCTTGTCCAGCTTCGTGTACGGCGTGGAAGATGTCGTGTGCATATCCGTCGGCAACGGACGCCGCTGCCTCGTCGTTAGCGCCATTTCCTTTTCTTCTTTTCTTGAAGATTGTATTTGTAGTGGAGATTTGATAGTTTTGCCTTTTGATTTTGAAAATGATTCTTTACTTGTATTTGGGGAATCAGTGTTGATCGGGAGATTTTAAAAGTAAAATTGGACGGGATGATCTCAATCCCGTTTGTCTAAGAAGGAAATAGAAAATTAACTTGTTGGTCCCCAATCTATTAACACACAATCACAAAGGTAGTGATGTTGAACATTCTGTTTTATTTAGGAAGCCAAATCCTTAAACAATGGTGTAATTGTCTTCAGGGC